ATTTTAACATGATCATAAGACCGGGACATCAAAGTCAGACCCACAATGGTGTGTCATTGTCCTCTAAATACCCTCCTAGCAAAACAGTTTGGCATGACACTCACAATAGCTCCTCCATCACTTTGCTCAGAGGGTGTCCCAGCCAACATCTGCAGTGCCACTTGGAAGCACTTCAAAAAACATAACTAAGCTGAGAATGCCCTAGGTCTAACATGCACTAAGCAAAACACGCAGGACAGGTCTGGGCTGTAAAGGGATTAGTTCAGACATATACACTGGCAAATTAATTCAGACACTCTTAAGGCAAGAGCCAGAGACACTAGCTGAGGAAGAACAAGAATCAGTGCAGACAACGGAATGTTCTGCATCTCAGCTGACCAGGAGCAACAAGTCAGCCAGCACTACCCATCAGAAAGGAACACTTCTGTTTTTGCCACTCCCATCATCCTACTCGCTTTTGGCCAGGCGGCTGTCTCACAATGAGAGGTCTTTGTGGAAGAGACCATTTAGCCTCTTGACCAGCAAATTCTTATTCTCTATCAGTCTGGAAGGGTTTCAGAAAAAGCTGCTAGAGCTACAAGCTGAAGGATATTCAGCAATTGGCTGGATCCACGTTTAGATGAGCACAGTTCCCTCTCCCCACACTAGCAAGTAAGTGTCACCTCCCAAATTCAGGGGATCCCCCACTTTCCACACCATGCCCTACTCTCCCTTAAGCAGGATCCTGGAAGAATGGGCTAGGGGACTCCCACTGGAGGGAGAACGAAGAGGGACAGTCTGTCCATATCAGCCCTACCTTGTGTGCCTAAATCTGAATTCAGCTCATTGACCACATGGCACAGGCTTTCCCCTGCTCTAGGAGTAAGACACCAAGTATCAAAATTCTGTGTTTGCTGGTCCTAGCTGGTCATAATATACTTTCCAAGCACAGAGATGGCCACTAATTATAGACCGGTGGCCAACATCCCGTTTCTGGGCAAGGTGTTGGAACGGGTGGTGGTGGGACAACTCCAAGCACTCTTGGAGGAAACTGATTATCTGGACCCATTTCAGTCCGGCTTCAGACCCGGGTACGGTACTGAATCTGCCTTGGTCGCCCTGTACGATGTCCTGTGCAGGGAGAGAGACGGGGGGAGTGCGTCCCTGTTGGTTCTCCTGGACCTCTCAGTGGCTTTCGATACCATCAACCATGGTATCCTTCTGGATAGGCTAGCGGGATTGGGGGTTGGAGGCACTGCTTTGCAGTGGTTCCGCTCCTATCTCAATGGCCGATTCCAGAAGGTGGTGCTGGGGGACTATGGCTCTGCACCATGGCAGCTATGCCATGGAGTTCCGCAGGGTTCCATTGTGTCCCCCTTGCTATTTAACATCTACATGAAACCACTGGGGGAGGTCATCAGGAGGTGTGGGCTGCAGAATCATCAGTACGCTGATGATACCCAGCTCTACCTCTCGTTTTCTACCAATCCAGGTGAGGCAGTGGCTGTGCTGAACCAGTGCCTGGCTGAGGTAATGGGCTGGATGAGGGCCAATAAACTGAAGCTCAATCCAGACAAGACGGAGGTCCTGTTGGTTGGCAGATCGGGCTTCGGGGAAGGGGACCTGAACCTAGTCCTGAATGGGGTTGCACTCCCTCTTAGTGACAAGGTCCGCAGCTTGGGAGTGCTCCTCGACCCAGAGCTTTCACTGGAAGCTCAGGTGACAGCAGTGGCGAGGAGCGCTTTCTTTCAGCTTCGGCTGATCCATCAGCTGCGTCCCTACCTGGAGAATGACTGCCTGGCGACAGTGACACATGCGTTGGTGACTTCCTGACTTGACTTCTGTAACGCGCTCTATGTGGGGCTGCCCTTGAAGATGGTCCGGATACTTCAATTGGTTCAAAATAGAGCTGCCAGGCTGCTGACGGGGACTGGGCGTTATGTTCACATGACTCCAGTTCTCCGTCAGCTTCACTGGCTCCCCACTGAAGTCCAGGCCCAATTCAAGGTGTTGGTTATGACCTATAAAGCCCTTAACGGCTTGGGTCCTGGTTACCTGAAGGAGCGCTTATGACCATATATGCCCGCCCGCCCTTTGAGATCAGTGGGAGAGGCTCTTCTCCGGGAACCCTCCATGAAGGATATTAGGAGGGTAGGTACTCGGAGGAGGGCTTTCTCTGCGATGGCACCCAATCTATGGAATGCGCTCCCCAGAGAGGTCCGCCTGGCGCCGTCGTTATTTGTTTTTTGGCGCCAGACGAAGACCTTTTTATTCAAGCATTATTTTAATTGTTAATACTATTTATTTATTTTATTCTTTGGCCAGGGTGACTTAAATTATACTGTTTTATATTGTGTTTATTTATTTATGATTGTGAGCTGCCCCGAGGCTTTGGCGAATGGGGCGGCATAGAAGTTCTCTAAATAATAAATAAATAAATGTTTCAAAAATGTTCCTGAGGCTATAATGCTATACCCACTTATCTGGGAATCAACTCCAAAGAACTCAATGGGACTTATTCCTGAGTAGACACATTGCACTGCAAGCCATTTAAACTTCAACCATGACATTTAAGAAAATAAGAAATTAGTGTGCAGCAATTTTCTGCCTTTAAAAAATACAGGAGCATTTATTTTAGAGTGCTTAGATGCAGAAGCAGAGCTCAGCTGATGAAGCTGTTAAGAAACTGCCAAATGCACTTCAGTCAATATGGCAACAGGCAGATTCTGCAGCTCTTGTGCTCCAGCACAGCCTGACATAGGGAGGAGAGACAGAAAGCAGCCAAATATCAGGAAACAGAAGCAGAGCAAGGAGTCCTTGTTCCTCAGTGTAGGAGGACTGCATCATGGCCATGTATATGGGGGCCAACCACACAGTTGGCTTATGGAAATCTGCAAGCATCAGGATGATAGAGAAGGGATATGCACAAGCCAGCTGCTGAGATGTATGGTCTTATGTTGCAACAGCACCAGAAATAAATGGTCAACACTGCCAACGTTTTAAGATCAGAAAGTGCAGGGTCTTTCCTGGTGGCCAGAAATGTTTTGCCATAGTCTCAAAAGAGCCAATTTGTCAGCTGACCAAGAAATCACTGGCCCCTCCTAATCCAGTGCACAGATAGTTCATTAATACAGCAGCGAATATGATCAAAGATCCACAGGCAACCATGCAGTTAAAGAAAACGCTACCAGGGGTCCAAGCTGCCCTGACCTTCTGCTCAAGGTCCCCAAGCATGATCTCCTAAAACACCTTAATTATTTCATGCACACAGCTGTAGAGCCCATTCAAACAAAGCAAAAAGCAACCTTGAGCAGTCCTGCAATTTTAGTGCATTCCACTGCTGAATACTTGAAGTCTAGATATGAACGTTTTCAGAAAGCACCAAAAGATTGTTTGGACAGATTGGCTGGCTGGCTAGAATATGAAGTAATTTATATTAGGTGGGTGTTATCTCTATCACCACCACTTTGGGATAAAGAACACTGAAAGACCACAAAGAAGATATTCCCCTCCCCTGCTGACCATCCTTTCACACACACCCACACACAACCACACCCACAAACAAACACACACCTCTGCATCAACCCATCTAACCACAAATTTTAATTTTAAAATTCCTGAATGTGGGCTGCAGAGTTTAGGCAAACTATCAATGTATGGTAACGATACCCAGTTCCCTCTTTCTTTTTCAACTGATGCCAAAGAGGATGTAGAAATCCTAAACTGTTGCCTGGATGCAATGAAGCACTGGATCTGAACAAGTCAACTGAGCGTCAGTCCACACAAAACTGAGGTCCTCTTGGTCATCAGATAGGCTCATCCAAATCCAAGAGTACAGTCTGTCCTAGATGGGGCAGCACTCCCTTGGACGAATTGGGCATGCTGCTTAGGGTGCTTCTAGATCCCGCACTGGCCTGGAATGCACAGGTGGTGGCAGTGGCCAAGAGGGCCTTTGTCCAGTTTTACCTGATGTACCAGCTGGGCCCTTCCTGGGGAAGGCAGGTCCGGCCACAGTGATCCATGGCTTAATCACATCATATCTACATTATTCTAACATGCTATACACAGGAATGCCCTTGAAACTACAGCAAGTGCAAAATGTGGGAACTAGACTATTTTATAGAACATGTAATTTTAAAACAGCACCACTGGTTTCCCAGTTGCTTCCAAGACCAATTAAAGGTGGTGATTCTTACCTATATAGCATTAAACGGTGTGGGGCTAAGGCATCCAAAAGGCTTCCTTTTTCTGGATGAAGCTGCCCAGAGCTTGCATTCATCATGGTAGTCCTTTTACATGCCTCAGTCCTAGCGAGGTGAGGCTGGTGAAGACACAGGCCCAACTTCTGGCTTCGAGGCTTACCCCACAAGAGTGGCTACTTGTCCCTGTTCTTACTGGCCTTTAGATGGCTGATTTTAAAAACAAGAGTTCCACTTCACTTTTCAGAGTCAATGCCACTCTTTGATTTTTGAGGGTCCACCCATTTTATTGTACAACGCTTTACCACTTGTTTTTGATTGTTTTGAAATTGTATTTTGTTGTTTCTGTGGTTTTAATATAAACTACCTTGAGCACTCATTGCATCAACAGAAGATTAAAATCGGTTAAATAAAATAATAGGAATATGCTGAGCACAAAAGACCTCCTTGGCATTTTCCCTTTGATAAATTAGATCAAGAATGGCAGTAGAGCAGCAGTGCATGAACCTGTCCTAGGATCTTCTGTGGGCACTGTAGCCTTGTTTGCCCCATTTACATGCAAATCTCCACAGTGGTAAGGCAGTGCCAGCCAGAACATTCACTACTGTCACCTGGTAAAATAAGAGGACCCTGGTTTCCCTAGCCTACGCATAGGAGAAATATGACTGGCAACACATCCTATGTAAATTTACCCAGAAGTACTTTATCATCGTTTTAGCTCTGTTACAAACAAAAGCCAAGATAACCTTAATGTTGTCACCCCATAATCAGTGTGCCAAATATATGCCATGTGGATGCTTCTGAACCAATAAAGTTGCTTACCTACTTGAAGGACACGATCCACAGCCCCTGACTGCAGCAAATTCAAGCCACGGTTAAAGGGTACACGTGAGTCTCGCTCACCCTCTGGGGGGTGATAGCCAAGGGATGAATACATGCATATCTCTCGCTCACTCCGTGGGAAGGACCAGAACACGATACGCTTCTGCACAGGTTCTGGGACACGGGAGAAACGATCTTCCACCTGGACAAGAGAGAGGAAGAAAGGCAAGGCAATGTTAGAACTATACAGTTCCAAAGAATGTGGAACCAGAGATTGGGAGGACCTTCTCCCAGAAGGAACACGTGGCTCCATCTGACTTCCCTGGGGATTCTGGATTCCGCTGCAGATTCTGGTCTCATCCATCAGTGAAAGAACAGAGCAATCAGAAGGCTGCTCCTCCTGCCTCCCAGGAGGGGCATAACAGCAAGGGTGACACCAGTCTGGCCCCATACTCCAGCCAAGCTAGAGGGAGCTTGTTTTCCCTTTCCCTACCATGAAGAAACCTATAACAACTTTGACACTAAGAACTGGTGCCTGGTTTGCTTTTTTCTCTTCTCACTTCCAATCCCTTTTCCTTGGGTGTCATGACTTTAAGACTGTAAGTCTGAGGGCAATATTAAGCTTTCTAAGTTGTTTTGTGAGACTTTTGTTGACTGAAGAGCAGGATAAAAATGTTAGAAAGAAAATATGAACCTGCCCATTTCTTAAGATGACCTACTCTAGCTACTACTGCCTTCTGGACCATCAGCTGGGACCAAGCCTCTTCTTGGTCACTCTTGAATTATGGAATTTCATTCTTCAGGATATTAGGTAGACATCAACTCTTCTTCTCACTGTTAATTTCCATACTTTGAGCACTGCTTTGTAATTTTTACTAATATGGCTGTCCAAGACACCTTGAATGCTTTGGCACTGGGGAGCAGGGGTGGAAACAGCAAGTGAGTTAGTGCCCCCCAACCCATCCAGGGACAGAGATACAATAAGCAGACACCCACTGGGATATCAAGGTCCTGCAGCCCTGACTCCCTGCAAGTTTATGGCAACTATTTGAACTAGGTTTGGCCCTGCTGCTTTTAAAGCTTCAGAGCCTCCCATGTTATTGGAAGTATTGACTGAACTATACTGGACTACAATCTATGTGTATAACTATCAATTATCGGAGAAGAAATACAAATGCCAGGGTCTTGAGCAAGAATGGAATAATGAACTGGGGCACCCTATTTTGCCCAATCAATGGTGTGTTTCATGAATACCTGTGTCAGAAGGGTTTACAGCCAGTGTGGTATAATGGTTATGATTGCAGGGCTGGGACTCAGGCAATTTGGATTCTGGTCCCCACTCAGATATAAAGCTAACTGGGTGACTTTAGGCCAGTCACAAACTCTCAGTCCAACCTACCTAACAGCGTTGTTGTTGAGAGGATAAGATTGAAAGAAGTAGTATTATGAAAACTACCTTGAGTTCCTTGAAAGGAAAAAAAAGACAGGATAGAAATGAAATAAAGTATTTAATTCAACAAAAATGTATTTCAAGTATACTGGACACCACAACGTCTCTTTAATACAGGCTTAATTAAATTGGCCAATTGTTGGAACTGTAATAAAGCTAATACTTCCCTTATTCATGCCTAATGGCTGTTTTCTTTTGAGAAGAGGTAATAATCAGAATACATTTTGTGATGGAAAGTTCTTTAACATTCAGTGATACGCATGTTCTTCTTAATTACCTACCTGTCTCTTGGAATTTAACACAAGGTCAATGTAGATGCATTTTCTGCCACCTTTTGACAGCTAAAAGGCTAATACTACAACATTGAAAAGATGAATGGCTGTCTCTAATAACCAGAGAGGTGGAAGACTAAATGAAACTCTCAATTTTTGAATGGGTGGTCTTTACACATGGCTAAATATATGATTATTTGGCTGCCTTGTTGTTTATGTATAATTATCATGAACAACAGTAGTGTATTTTGCTACATACAAATCCATAGGGGTATATAATATACATATATAGTGTTGTGGATTTCTTTACATCTTGCAAGAAAACTGCAGCATTTTATTTTACTCTATTCCCCCCTCCCTTTTCATTGTGTTGTTTTGGTTTTGTTCTGCAATACACAGTAAAAAAACAAAAGCATAAATATGTTAACTATAAGATAAGGAACCCAGCAGCAAGGCCATAAAAGTATTTTCTACACATTAATGTCACCCTTTCATACAACAGTGTATAATTTTAAAACATACTTCAAATGCCTTGGGGTCAGGCATCAAGTCAAGTACATGGGTGGCCGTGCACTTGGGATTCTACCATCCCCACAGCTCTATCCTTTCCATGAAGGGGCTAAGTAATAATTAGATTTCCTGAGTTTTACCTCCAGTTTGGAAGCAGAGGGGAGAAACCATGATGTGGGAACAAGAATACTGGAATCCACAGCACTGTGGCAGGGCTGGGAAAGGAATGCAAATAGCTATCCAAAGATGCGGCCTCCAAGCATCATCTACTATAAACGAGAGGCATAATGCCAACACATTGTGGCTAGCTAGTAGCCTGCAGCTCAGAAAGTAGAAAGGCGCTGTGGTGAGGCCTGCTCTGGGCCAACGTTCCTCATGGTCTTGCCTCTCTCCCTCAGTGACAGGAACGCCCATGCCTCTTGGGAAACATGTGCAGAGATTGACATGATGGTTGACCTGAAGCCAAGTATTGCCACCCATCGTGTGAGTCTTGCATATCCTACAAAGAAAGTCTGCCAGGAGATACTCAGGGTCCAGTGTTCATCTTAGCTTCCTGTAATGGTGGATCTAGGTCAGGGGTCCTCAAACTATGGCCCGAGGGCCGGATCAGGCCCACCATGCCTATTTATCCAGCCTGCCTCAGAGGTTTTGCCTCAGAAAACCATCTCCAAGCGAGTCCAAAACCTCTGAGCCAGTGCAGGCGTTCTTTAAAACTGAGCAGAGAAAGAGCCGGCGCATGCCCAAACTGCAACAGCATAACTGTGTGTGCTGGCTCCCCCACCCCATTGCACACATATACATAGTGGAAATATGGAATGGGAAACAGAAGTGAGGCAGGTGGAAGAGAAAGAGAGACGAAGACAGCGAAGACGAAGAAACTTAAAAAAGGATTGAAAGTAAGTAAAATATAACTTTTTAAATCTATTTTTAATTATGTGAGCCCGAGGGTGGCCAGCTGCCACCTCACTGAGCCCTGGGGCGGCCAGCCGCATGGCCTTCTCCTCGCAAGCAAGCCGCCGCACCAAGCCATGGGCAGCCAGCTGCACAGCCTTCTCCTCACAAGCAAGCCGCCGCCTCACTGTGCCTATGCCCGCCTGGCCCACACCCGCTGCCTTTCAACTGGGCCTCTGTTGAAAAAGTTTGAGGACCCCTGATCTAGGTGGTTAATTCATGACATTTGAAATTACAATATTTTCTATAGGCTTCCACAACACATGGAAGAACACCTGAATCACTATTTCTACAACACTCCTCCATTGCCTGAAATCAGAAGCATGAGTTTCTTCTAAAAACCAACCATGCAGCACAACCTATCCATTATGTGCATTGCTGGACAGAGTGAACGGCTTGTATGTTAAAGAGGTAGTAACTAAGGCTATGAAGAGACCTACAAATAAGGAAATGGATGAAGTACAGAAAAGGGAATGCATGCTCTAAGGACAGAGAGTTAAAAGCATCAAAATGTAAAGGAGGCATTATTATTAAATTGGCCTCAGTTTATATAAATGCCAGTGCTATACTCCTTCCATTGAATTTTCAGAGAAACATCATACTTTGCCAGAAGAAATAAATTTTGATCAGGATGGCTCCCTTCATCAGTGTTACAATGACAGGAAATCCAAGGTCTGTTAGGGGCAATTAAAAGTTCAGAAGATGCCTTAAGAAAAGGGATCTAGAAATTCAGGGCCTCTTTGACCCTAGTCTTCAGACTCCCAGCTTCCAAACCTGCTTAGTCCTTACCATTCCCCAACCCTGTCTGAAAGTTTGCCCCTGCCTGCCTGCCTTCAGCTCTGTGCCTTGGCCTACCATTGTTCCCAGCATTCCTCTATTTGCCCCCTACCTAAGCAGTACCACTTCATTCAGTCACCTGGGACACCAGCTGGCAGTCATCACTCACTTCTTTGCCACTCCCCATACAGAACTGCTGTTCCTTAGGTCCAGGTACGCGTTTAACCACTGCCTTTCATTTGTACTTTCTTTTCTTCAAACCTCTCCCTTCCCCAAGGCCAGCATCAGAGGCTGACATGGTTGGGCACCTGCCAAGGCCCACGCTGCAACAGGGTCCCCCTGCCAGGCCCTGGAGCCCTCTGGCCCTGCCCCACCTTCTCACAGTTGTTTCCTTTTTAGCTTGCTCCTGTCACTGCTCACTTGCTTGGAAAGGGCAGGAAAAGGAGCAGAGCATCTGCTCACCTTGTTCTTCATCATTCTGAACAGCTGTATAGCCTGGATCTAAAGGAAAGGTCATGTGAACAGGCAGTGGTAATAGCTGGGGGGGGGGCACTGAGAGCTTTTTGCTCAAGCCCCCACCAACCCAAGAAGCCATACTGACTGCTCTCTTGGGTCCCTCTGTTCTAATTCAAGGCTATGTCTGCTCTCTCATTCTGGGCACCTTTAGCCTCTGACTCAGGGGTACAAACTACTTTCAGCCCAATGGCTGAATCCCATTTCAAAGAGGTTCATCTAGTGCTGGGTGAGCTGAAGGTAAAAAGATAAGATCAAAATACCAAAAAACAAACAAATCAACCAACCATGGTGCATTTTAGTTGCAAGAAATTAAGCCTTAGAAGAGACCTTCCAACCTTTCAGAATGGGCCAGGGTGGTGGTGGGAAATGTACCAACCAGGAAAATGTTAAGCAATTGGTGGTCAAAAAAAAAAAAAAAAAGGAAACAGGACCAAGGAGGAAGGAGGCCAGGCTGGGGTCCCAGGAGGGCTGCATTTGCCCCCCAGCACTAAGGCTCTCTCTCCTAAGACTTTTCTCACCCAGATTGCCCATTTTATTCACACAACTCTTCCTGTCCTAGACACAGGGCAACTTAAGCCCTAGCAGTTCACTCCAGCCCCAGAAAAAACAATCTCTCACTCTCTCCAGTCTCACAGATCGTGTCCAAATAGTCTGTATGGCCCACTTGACTTGTCTGCTCAGTATGTTCAAGAAATGTCCAGGAGATTACAATCAGCTTAACCAACA